TTGTATGTGTACGTGCACTGTCTTTGTGTTACTGTTTGCTGCATATTCATAAGTGATGAATGATTGTACTAGCCCAAGAAAAGAAAACTAACAAGTAGTTTTACCATGGCAGCATTATGGGCGCTATACACAAAATCCTCGTAGAAATAGAGGTCGACTGTATACTACTGCTATAAATAGAGTGATACTGACCGTTAGGTTATTCCACAATGTCAATGCATGTGCATCATATATGACAGAACGCCAAAGTTTACTTTTGCACTTGTTTGCAAAAGTGAAATTTGTTTGGTTCTGTCTTGTATGTGTATGTGAACTGTCTTTGTGTTACCGTTTGCTGCATATTCATACGTGATGAATGATTATACTAGCCCAAGAAAAGAAAACTGACAATTAACTCTATGCTTGACATTCAAGAATCCCATCGACTGTGGAATATTTTGTCCTTGCTATACATTTTTTGATCTTCAGATATATTCATACACACCCATATTTGTCATGGGACATTAGTAATTTTCCTTCTAGTAGTATACACTAATTGATTTTGCTCATCCATGACGAAACGTCCTTCTCATTAACACATATAGTAATTACGTATTCATTTACAAATTATGAAACTACAGTTTTCCAAATATCATTCACGATTTCTAAAGAGTTGTGCACAGCTTGTTCAAGAGATATGGCCATTGGAGGATGATTTAGTACACGCATCTCAACCTCATCATTTATTTTATTACTATGTAAGAAATTGTGTCGATAATTCAACTTATACGGATTTAATTGTTGATGAGGAAAATGATGAGCGTATTTTAGGTATTCTGGTGGGCGATCATGAAAGCCATAGATCATGTCGATCAATGATAAAAAATTTTAGAAACTGTGTAATTTTATATAAACATATTCTTTGTGGTCATCTTGGAAAACGTTTTGTTGCTTTGGAAGTTGTCGATGAAATGTCAACGATCAGCAAACGTATTGAGGACGAATGTGAAGAGTTTGATAGCGAAATAAATTTACTTGTTTTAAGCAAAGATTTACAAGGAAAAGGCTATGGACGTTTATTAATGGAGCGTTACATAGAATTTTGTAAAAATGACAAAAACATAAAAAGTATTTTTGTTTGGAGTGATATCTCCTGCAATTATAAATTTTATGAACATTATGGTTTTCGTTTATACAAACAGTTTTACGATGATCGACTTACAGCACATGATGATAATAGAGAAGATAAACCAAATGCATTTATATATTACAAAATCTTAACATAAACAATATATTTACTACAACGTTTTTCTGTTTTTTTGTACAAAGTTAGAGTAAAAACGCCGGTGAACCTTTGAAAAAGGTTGATCATTGTTTCTCAAAAAATGATGTCTAGATCAGTAAGTATACTTAAACTCGAATAAACGGGAAAGGAGAGGCAAGTATCAGCTGAGCAAATCTGGTCCAAAAAGGGATTTCATAACGATGGCTTTAATTAATGAACGCCGACGTTTGAGCGACTCCGACATTTGAGCTTTTTGTAAGCTTTGATAGTTTTAAATTGTAATTTTACTACCACAAATTATGTTCGTCTAAACGTTTGGATGCTTTGCATCTTCATTAGATTCTCGCGGGTCTAACATTTTTGATCCCGAACTCGAACCGGTCCTGTAGACTTGAAACTGATCCCGAGTCCGGGAAAGAGCTGTCGGGATCCCGCTTTTTTAAAATTAAACTAGCTAGATGCCGAATTTTTTTTCTAGTAAAGTAATGCCTTCTTTACTGTGTGCATCAGCAGATCGCCGTTCTAGCCTCAAACGCAGAGGTTCAGCGCCTACTTTCTTCTTCGAAAAATACAATTACGGATCGTCGAACACGATTAGGAACCGAAAAAATTAACAAATTAATGTTTCTTAAGAAAAATCTGTCTTTAGTAAAATCTTTCATTACGCGAATATTTATGGATAAAAATACTGATAAGTGACAACATTCAGATGAAAATGGCGAGTATGAACAATTCGCAGATAAGAAACAGAAACTGAATCAGAGTGATGGTAGTTTGAATGATAGTAAAAATTAACAGACTTACGAAAAGAGTTTTTCTATTTCTATTCTTGTGATAAACGTTTTGTCACACTTAGAAACAGATATTTTCTTACTTTTGTCTTTTGCAGAAAATAGTAGAAGTTACCTACAAAAGACAGTAGAGAAGGAATCCGATTCCGTTCCGATGAATTCATACCCGTCCCAAAGAAAGAGGTTTCGGGATCGGGTTAAACCCGAAGGACTCTAATCTTCATCAGCAGACAAGATGAATTAAAAAGAGAATAAAAGTTTTCTAAACCTCAGACTCGAAAAAGAATCATATCCAGAAAGTAGAACATAAATCATAGTACTAATAATACGTAAAATGTAGGCTAAAACTCCTGACAGAAGCTATTATTTTTTTATCACTTTTCCGCCTTTCCTAGGTCTAAGATTATGAGCTACAATTCCGTCAGACATCAGTGGCTGTGGTCTACCAAAAATTGCTCCCGAATTTTTCTTAATCGATGATTTAATTGTGAGCAACCACTGCGTGATATTGTCTGTTTGTTCTTGTACCCATTATTAGCCAATATAGCGTAACCTTTTGCGTCTTTATTTGTTTTGTTCTTCGCCATAAATGACGAATGATTCAAACCGAATTACTGATGAAGATGCAAAGTATTGAAACGTTTAAACGAACATAATTTGCGGGAATAAAATTACGATTTAAAAGTATCAAAGGTCACAAAATGCAACAGAATCATATTAATAGCTTATATCAATCTAGGCTGTCTTCTTCTATCTTAGGAGCTCTCCTAAATCCTAACAGTATTCTTTCAAAAGTTGTTCAGCTCTCGATAAACGCTTTCACTAATGTCTAAGATTTGCATGCAATTCATTTAATATTTTGTCATGCATTTTCTTTCAGAAAAAGGTGTGGTTTCATTTTATTATACTGTCTACGTGCTTCTTCTAACTGATTTTTTCTTACATTTACGGATGAATGACTCTTACAAAATACCATAAAAATAAGTAGAACATTATCTAATTAAAATCTTATCGAATAACCTAAATTGATATTATCCAAACAACGGCAGAAAAGAAGATCATGGGTAAAACACATGGTGTTGCAAGAGGAGACGAATACGATGGTAAGTGGTAAAAAAAAGCAACTATTGCATTTTGTTAGCCGCAAATCGTTTTTCTTCTACGTAACTTCGACTTTTTCAAGTTTTTTATCTTGTTAAAATTCCACTTCAAATATTCACATCAGATATCGGATGTGTCATCAAAAATTGCAAGTCTCAGTATTTTGTGTTTTTCTTAGTTCTCTTAGATGTCGAAGCGCTACATTCTTTTGTCGAAAGATTCAAAAATTTGATTATACATAAGAACCTATCAAAGGCTTTTCTTAGGCATGTAAGAGTGAAAAGTTACAATAAAAATAATGGAGAATCCCAAAATACAAAAAAAACTCCAAACTTTTTCTATGACGATTTCGAGCATTTTTTAACAATTACGAAATCACTAAAATGTGTTCAAGGAAGGTTCTTTTGCTCTTGAATATTCTCTTTCTCGACATGTACAGTCCGTTCAAGCCAAATAGTGTAATGCAAATGTTGATTTTTAGGAGCATACTTAAAAGTAGTTGAAATTGAATATTTTCGTTCTATTGACTATAGAAAACAAATTTTCTGCAACTTTTAGCGCCTCGATGGAATGCACTAACCATTTATCTTCGAATTAAAAGTAATCCGAACTCGAAACGTTAATTTTGGCATAGTTCTATGAATTTTGCCGACTGCCCCGAAACAGCGGAAAGAAAATGGTGATTTTTAAGAAAAGGTGAAAAATAAAAGGTTTTCTTGTGTCATAAATTCTAATGTTAAAAAATTTAAATTCCAGTTCAAAGATACGGCTTTTCACGGACTATAAGATCGTTAGTTAATTTTTTTCACATTACGCAAAACTAATGAATCACTTGAAAAAACCTGATTTTCAGCTTATTTGTTTTCGATTTTGGGATTCTTCATTATTTTTACTGCAACTTCTCACCCTTACCTGCCCAAGGAAACCTTTTGATAGATTCTTGTGTAGAATTAAACGTTGAATCTTTCAGTACAAAATTATAGTAAGTCTTCCGCATAACTAAGAAAAACACAAAATACTGAGACTGCCACTCTTTATGACACACTCGCTTTAGTTCCCAAAGATCATTATTACTTAATTCGTTTAGAATATTTTTTTTGGAAACACAGCTGTCACAGTTGACTATGTTTTGCTTAAGCATGAAGCGATTTCATCTCCTGAAAAGGAGAAACTGCTAAATCTCTACGTTAATGTATTAAAATTTATAAAAGATAGTGAGTTCCACCGCAATTGGTGTATGTTTTGAGTATGTTTTTCTTCCGTAGTAAGTTAGTATTCTCTGACAGACATTCTTTTAGTTAATATATCTACGAATTACATTATATCTCTTCGTCTTATAACTGTATTCACTTTAATTTTCATTTTTTGTTTCTCTATAGTTATCTACTTAGCGTCTTTGTTACCTTACAACATATTCAATTGAGTACAACATGTAATGAGATCTTTCCGGATTTGTTGTTTTATAAATGAAAGTTTAGATTAAAATTCTATTTATTTCACGAATTTCAGTCCAATCGAAAATTTTTTAACATATGTCGACCTCGGGTCTTTGCGAACTTGACTGGGATCAGTGAATCTGTCACCATGGATCGGTCTAAGGTAAAGTTTACGCTTCTTATTGTGTCTAGTTACTGTTCCTAATTTAGATGAAACATTTTATCAACAAGCAGCATATCAGATGGCACGCTATCCAATGTACAATGGACAAGGAGGAGCATACGATATGTACAATCCTCATCCTGGTATGTATCGTAATGTCTACCAAGTTTATCAATTATCAATTCAAGAGCAACAAGCTAAAAGTTCAATATTTAAAAAAAGTGATCAAACATTTGTTAAAAATCGTCCACAAGTTGCTGGTTATGATTTTAATTTGGGTGTTAATTATGAAAAAATTTTGGATACATTTTTGAAACAAGGTTTTCAAGCAACAAATTTCGGTCACGCTATTGAAATTATAAATGAAATGATTAAAGCTAAAAACGATGGTTGTAAAATATTTCTTGGTTATACATCAAACATGGTTTCATGTGGTAATCGTGATATAATACGCTATCTTGTTGAACATAAACAAGTTGATTGTATTGTTACAACAGCTGGTGGAATTGAAGAAGATATAATGAAATGTTTTGCACCAACATACAATGCAGATTTTAATTTAAGTGGAAAAGAATTAAGACTAAAAGCAATTAGTCGAATTGGAAATCTGGTAATACCGAATGACAATTATTGTCTGTTTGAAAAATTTTTACACCGCTATCTTGAAACTACGTAGTCAATGGTTCAAATACACATCTTGATAAGAAAAAACGATCTCTATTTTTCTGGTACTGAGAAATTTTTAATCGTGATGAAAAATTCGTTTTTTCGAGAATAACTTTGGCGTAGTTTCACGAGCTATTTTCATACTACCACGTTATGGAGTAAAAAGGTTCTAGAGCTAAGAAAAATTCAATGTATCTCAAACATTTTGAAAATCATAAGAATGTGATACTTGCGCTATCTGAGAATGAGTCTTTATTAAATGAGTCAAACGTAAAGTCTCATCTTTGTCATTGTAAGGAGTATGAAAAGATGTACATTGCGTCAGAGTTGTAACCAGATCGGCCGATTAATCGGTAACTGATTCCATACGATTAAATTTTTCAATCGGCCGATACTTGCCGATTTTTTACCGATTTGTTTTTAAAAAAAGCTTTTGTTTTGGATGTCATTTGGCCACAAAAACATCCAAAACATTTCGAATTGAGTACATAACCTGTACCTGAAGTCACTATGTTTTCCAACAAACTTTCTCTATAATTTTCTCTTTTGACAGTTCGTTGTGATTTCGTCGAAAAGTTACTCTCATACCGCCGTGCCGCTTATGAAATTCTTTGAAATTTTTACACTTACTACTTTTCGAAACACATCGAAACATCACAGGTTTTACCGATTTTTTACCGATCTGATGTTGATTTCTGATCAACCCTTTATTGGTCGATCCGACTCAAACTTTTAATCAGCCAATCCGATCTGACTTCAATTTTTTTAATCGGTCACCACTCTGTATTGTATTCGAACCCGGTGCAAAAGTGAAGTAGAAAGGGTGATAAAAATAGTTGATTTCAAGTAGAATAATATCGGAACAACTCTTAATACCTATATTAGATAAAATGTTAAAAGAACAAGAAGAAAAAAATACAAACTGGACCCCCTCAAAAATGATTGAATTAATGGGTAAAGAAATTTCTAATGACAAATCAATTTATTACTGGGCATCGAAAAATCAAATTCCAGTTTTTTGTCCAGCTATTACTGACGGATCAATTGGCGATTTAATCTTTTTCCATTCATTACAATCGAATGGATTACGAATTGACATTGCTGAAGATATAAAACTACTGAATACTGTTGCACTAAATGCTAAATCTACTGGATGTTTGATTTTGGGTAGTGGTCTAGTTAAACATCATATATTTAATGCAAACGCAATGAGATCAGGTTTGAATTATGCGGTTGTAATAAGTACAGCACAAGAATATGACGGATCGGATAGTGGTGCAAATCTTGATGAAGCTGTTTCATGGGCTAAAGTACGTTCAAATGCAAAACAAACTAAAGTTTTCGGTGATGCGTCCGTACTATTTCCATTATTAGTCGCTCGAACATTTGCTTTACAAAAACAACAACAAGAAAAAGACGACGCATAAGCGAAACTCTTTACGGGACTTTTCTTTTATCTCAAAAAAACTGAACACAGCCATTCCGCATAAAACTGATTCCGATTTGTCAAACCTTTTTTTAAGAAAATGAATGTTGGAAATGAACGGCACCTTCAACGGTTTGCTTTTGTCCTTTTTAAGCGATTTTGAAAAACTGTTAAAAGTTTCGAAAAATATGTAAATATGAAAAACTCGATTTGATAACATAATTTTGATTTAATTTTATAACTGCTTTTCATTTAATCGAAACTCACGAGGGAACCTCTTAAGGTTATAAATCACTTTTGAACTCGGACTACTTGTATCTTGTAGACCTCAGTGAGTAGTGAAATACCCTAAGTTGGTTCATCCCCATGGTGCTTTGTTGCTGAGATATTGAATTTTCAGTCAGTTTT